TTCAATTTTTCTTAGATAATGAAAAATATTTTCTTCAATACCAAACACACCCTTCGTTTTTTGTGTTTTTCTTTCTTTTTGTATTTAGGGAAGACTTGTGGTGTAGTCACTCACATGTTAAAAGTTTTGTGAGCATGAAGTTAGGTGGGGACTACTTAAATCCTGACCGTGAATATTTGATTTTGGATTTGTACTACGAATGTGCTTATTTGGGACGTCACGTCAAAGTCGGGCCAATTGAAGAAAAATAAAAAAATAAAAAGGAGGGAAATGGAAGAAAAAAAGAGGAAAAGAAAGAGATGTAATTGGAAAAGTGCAATTAATATGGTGTGGAATTTTGTGTAAGATAATCATGTGTAGTTATTTCTCCATTTTATTGGATATCTCAGAAGGAACCATCATATAATTTTATTGAGATGTGAAATAATCGTAAATGATAGTCTTGATAAAAATAAAATAAAAGAGCATAATAGTTTTAAAATTAAATGTTCTCCTACTGTTAATTATACATATTATTATTATTATTATTATTATTATTATTATTATTATTATTATTATTATTATTATTATTATTATTAAGCTTAGATAATTGGTTTCTTATTTGGTGTTTAGCACTCGCTGAGAGTCCGATTAATTTAGATTCACGTCACATAAGGCGCATTAAAAAGAGAAGTATTTTTTACCAGAATTTTTCGTCCTACATGGATTAACCCCAGTTCTCTGGTTAAGATAAAAATATTTTATCCATGTACTGCAAATTCTTGGTGATAAGCTTAGATAACATAAAACGAAATAAACAAGTTTGAAATCTATTATCCTTTATCTAACTCCAAATAATCAAAACCATCTAGGCAACAAGTTGGCATATATCTATTTTGACAATTAGAAGTTACTTTAACTACATGAAAACATAATTGTATGCATTAGATTTATAACTAGCTAGATTTAAATATGTACCAGAACTGCAAAGCTCGGATTAAATAAGAAAGGTTAGAAACGTTTTACTATTGTTACATATTAAAATTATTTGTATTAAAAATTATAAAAGACGATATATGGTGAGTCTTTTATCACCACCAAAGATTGTGGTGGGATGGTTAGAATACCTCCATCTTAATCGAAAAAAGGATTTTTCTATCGAAAAAATCAATGACTGCAAGTTGATAAGAGTGAGGAATAGAAAAAAGAAATTCGTGCAAACAATATGATTTTAGGATGTGATGTATTTATTTGTAGATAAAGCTAGATTTAATGATCTTTTCCAACTTAGATTTAAGGGAAATACTAATAAATAAGAAGAAAGAACAAGACAACATGGGTGGTTGGAGGAATCAAATGACATATCTTATGTTTACACTCCCTTGATTTTGATTTGGTGGCATATCGCCTCTCAAATATTTATAATATAAACATAATTTCCTCAAATCAATGAACTTAAATGGATATTACTCTTTCAAACTATTTTTTTAATCTTTTATTGCGTTGATCGTATATCAGCTAAAAATTTCTAAAATATAATATTTTTAAATGAGAAATTCAATTTTGAACAAAATCGACCTCAGTTTTGTAAGTGTATATAGCTCACATGAAAAGATAAACAGACGTTACGAGTTTACGACATTCATTGGACAGTTAAAGAATTATTATAGCAAAGAAATTAGAATTAGAAATACATATTAATCAGGGAAGTGTTGACATAATAGGCATGATTTATATGACTAATTACACATTCATCACAACCATTTTTTCATGAATTTGAAAAGCTAATATTACTGCGAAAATGAATATTTTATACCACAAGAAACGAAAGGAAAAACGAGATAAAAATGTAAGCTTACGTGATAAATGAATTTTAAATGAGAAAATGAATTTTGTCAGAAAATTGGGTAAAGGCCAAATCTTTATCTCATTTTTCCTTCACCCAATGATATTTTAGTCTTCTTGTTTTCTTATCTTTTTTTCTCATCAAGAGAATACCTAAGGTGTAGTCACTTACATATATTTAAATGTCAATATTTGATCTTTGACTGCTATTACGTACATATGTGCTTATTTGGGATGTACAATTATTAAGTGAACTTAAGTCACCTCTAAAAATACCTTTCTCGGCTTGGCTAAGATCAAGTGTATTATACATTTGAGGAATTTTCAGAAATCACTATCGTTTAGTGGCTATTAACTTTCTATAGCTACCATTGTCTACCCTAAAATCCGAGTAACAATTAAACTTGTATTGTGATTTTAAAGATATGTTATTTAATCCAATACTAACTGATAAACAAGGAATCAAGTGTATAAATTAAAGAGTAAGGTAAATCAAACCAGTATGTAAGCAAGCCTCGACCTCGAGCTATGGCAACCCCGAGGTAGATGAATAAGAACAATAAAATAATAATAATGCAATTCAGATGAACAGTAAGCAAGAAAAAATAATGTATGTATATTCTCTTTGTCAATGATTGATGCGTTACAAATGATTGGGATCCCCTTTATATAGTAGGGGAGTCCTAAATAAGGTACACTTCTAATTATAGTAGGGAATCGTATTATACAGCTGTCTAACCGCCTAGTACAAATCCGTTCCGGAATTTACGCCATAATCTTAAGGCCACTGCGGGAATCTCGCTCTTTTTGTTATAAAACCATAACGACATTATCTCGAGGTTGGTCATACTTGGCCTCGGTGTTCATCGAGCACTTCGAACTTCGAGTCTTGTTCTCCGTCATCGGACTCCAGCCCGGTCCATTTTGAACTTATTCTCGAAGCGACCCCTCGAGCCCACGAAATCGGGCATATCTAATTTCGACCGTATACAGATAGTCCCCGCGTTTCTTAGAATAAAATGATAAGAAACGACTAGAGCCTCGATTTTCCGGAGTCCCTGATAATGATGTCATCCTCGTGACGTAGGCGCTCAAAGTGACCGAAACGTCCCGTCGGCTCCCTCCACAAAACATTAAATGCTTCACCAGTAGTGGTCGGCCATTAGCGCCGCCAAACCGTCGCCGCTTGTCCATAAATACAAGGCCTAAATTCGAATAAAAAACTTTACTTCCATCTTCAAACCACCTTCAAACTTCCCTTATCTCTCCCCCTCTTCATCTTTCTCTCTCATTACATGTTACTCTCGTTCTTTTTAGGGCCAAAAGGTATCAAGCTCCGCCTATTTCCGCTTTCTCTAACCCAAATCAATGGCGAAAACCTCCAAAACAGTTCATCAAAAGGAGAAAGCTTCTTCCTCCTCTTCCCCGCCGGCCGGTGATAAAGCGTCGGCCCTTCACGAGATTATTCCCGGCCCCTGTGTCATAAAGAAGGACTTCAAAGTTGAAAATCCCCTCGCGATTCTTGGCCGATGCGAGCATGTATCGAGGTATATTTGCTCAATAACGGAGAAGCATCTCAAGGCCATGAAGAAGAACTATGGCTGGAGGGATGGGGTCGTCGTAAAGATCCCCGCCCCCGAGGAGAGCATCACTACTTAGGGGTGGGCATATATCGGGTAAAATCGATAACCCGAACCGCTAATTATTTATTGGGTTATCGGTATTGAGTTATTGGGTTAACGGTTCGGTAACGGGTTAAATTTTTTTTTATTGGGTTATCGGTTCGGGCTCGGTTTGTAATTCTGTTATTGGGTAAAAAACGATAACCCAATAAGAATTAACTAATTTACTAGTTTACCCTTAAGTATATACATACTATACTAGGGTTTCATAATTGGTTTTTCCTATTCTTTCTCAATTCGCAGTAAGTCAGTTTCTCTTTCTCAGTTTCTCAATTTTTCCGCCGCACCCCTACGGCCCATCCTCACCAGTTCTCCGCCTCACCACGGCTCACGCCCTCATCAGTTCTCCGCCTCACGGCTCACGCCCTCACCAGTCACCAGTCATCCCATCAAGACTCAGGTCGGCGTCACTCATCAGTCGCATCACGCCCTCACTAGTCAGCCCGTCAAGACTCAGGCCAGCGTGTAAGTTTTTAGTTGCTTCATCTTCATCTTTTTCTTAGTTTGTTTGAAAGCATTATGGCTCTGCATTTTTTTTCGGGGGGGGGGGGGGTTGTGCTGTGTGTGTGCGCGCTACTATTGTTTGAGATCTTGTTCTAATCATTTGTCTAGTCTTTAAACGTTTTTGGAGATTCTGTTTTATGAGAAATGAAATGGGCTTTGACATTGGTGCTGTTGCATTATTCACTTATAATTTTAACATGTGTTTCTCTTTTTGGAATATTAAGAATCCTAAGTAGTAAACTTCTGTTTAAATGTTCTTAAGGATACAAGACCACGTTTTATTAACAATACAATCATATTCCATTCCACCTTTGTAATCCTATATTTATGCATCAGAAAGTTGTCAAAGACAACGGAAATCTGCTCTATTTCTTGACTTCTGCCTCATGATAATTGAGAACTCGACAGTTTTATATATTGCGAAATTGTTTTAGTTGTTTTATCTTATCGGGTAAATCGATAACCGAACCGATAATGATTGATAACCGATTAACCGATAACCGATAACCAATATCTTATCGGTTTGGTTATCAGGTTATGATATTTGTAAACCGATAACCGATAGGCAAAACTAATAATATTCAAAACCGAACCGAACCGACCGATGCCCACCCCTATCACTACTCATGTGGAGGGGTTCCTAAGTGTTTACACTTACCCCTTCATGTTGGGTCCCCTCGATCCAATGGTGATTCTGCAAGAGGTATCAGGTCACCCTCAGCCAGATCCACCCTTCTTTCTGGCGTATAGTGATCATGCTTCGCTATTTCTCTAGCAAGGCCGAGGGGCTAGAGTTCACCCTCAATCACCTTATCCGATTATATCGGCCTCAGCTTTTTCGAGGGTTGATCAAGTTCCAACACCGGTCGACCAAGGCCTTCTTTGCTAGCAATGACGAGGATCGGGGCTGGATGAGCCGGTTTGTGCGAGTGAGGACCTGTGATGTCATCCCAGAGGAGAAAGTGTCGTTCCCATAGAAGTGGAACCCCGATGGTTGCTTGGATGCCCCATGAAGTCGCCGACCTCGAAGACTGGGTCCGTAAATTAGATGCGACTTCCTCGTATGACGAGCGCCGATGGCGTGACTTGGTAAAGGGAAGATGGGAAGCCAAACTCCATGGTAAGTTCTTCTGGCAAGTTTTTGATGCTTTCCCCTTTACCGGATTTGTTACTTTACTCATACCCAATTTTTATTAATGTAGGAATTGGAGATGTCTCTGAAATGATGCCAGCCCCGCCCAGAGAGGAGACCGAGTCCCCGATTCCAAAATCGGGGAAAGATAATAAGAGAAAAAGGGTTTCGAAGCCCGAAGACCCCCAAGATGGAAGGGGTCCTACTCGAAGACGCAGAAGGAATCTCATTCACGTGGACATAGACTCAGTCCACCAGCTGAACGATGAAGAAGAAGACGAGGGCGAAGAATCGGCGCTGGTGAGCCAAACCAGGAAACCAGCCGAAGCTTCCAAGCCTCCAAACCGAAGACCCTGCCTCATGGTGAGGAGGCTCCGAAGAAAGACGCGGGCAAAGCCCTTGAATCACCCGAGGTCGAGATTGTTCCTCGACCATCAATAGACACACCAAAGGGGACAGGTTCTGAAATCCCAGAGTTGAATAGAGCGCCCTGGGTGATTTGCTCGGGGCCATGATAATAGGTCACTCTCCTCCTCTACCGGCTTATTCTGAGGAGTCCATAAGGTAGGCTTGAGCGCTGCACATGCTCGACTTAAGAGGCGTCCCCAGTGAAGAAGATCCTTTCTGGGATTGCTTTACCAGGGTCGATGATGTTGCCGATCTCAACGATGCAGCTACTCTCTTCGAAGAGGCTCAACGCCTTTTCTCTCAAGTAAGCTTTGATTCCTATCGTGCAATTTCATTTTTCTTCTCCCCTTTTTTCCCTAACTGATTTCCTTTTTTCTGTGTAGGCTTTCACCAGGTTCAGGGCCGACTTGAGCCAATGCGAGGCCGAGCTCCAGAAGACCTCGGATGAAGGGAAGGCCCTGAAGCTCCTTTGCAGTCAAATGGAGGAGGAGCTCAAGGACCTTCGGGCTGACCAGGACAAGGCTCGAAAAAATGAAGCCGAGCTAGACAAGCAGGTAACTGTCATTTTGAAAGGGTATGGTCTACTCGACCCAACTGTGGAGGCTAACACTTCAGTGTCTCAGCTGTAGCCAAAACTGGATAGGATCGAGCTGCTTCGAGGAGAGGTCGATCCGGTCAAGGCCGACAGCAACCGGTTGAAGGAGAATATGGACCGCCTTGCTGGGGAGAAAGAGGCCGCTTTAGCCAAACTGGCATCGGCTGTGACCCAACTCCGAGGTGCTAAGGAAAAAAGTTTGGCCCGGGCCAAAAGGATCGACGAACTCGAGGCCAAACTTGCAGAGGCCGAGGTCAAGCTTGCAGAGGCCAGGGCTGAGGTCGAGAACACGAAGGTCACAGCTGATAAAACCGTTGCTGTGTACTTAAGGGATGCTGAGGCTGCTCAAGAGGAGCTAAGGGAAGCCTCCGACCGGGAGAAACGGAGTAATGATTTGGCCAGGTGCCAATCCCGGAGGCAGAGGGGCCCGAAGAGGAAACTGCTCCCCATGGAGAAACCAGCCCCCGCCATAGATAGAATTTTTCTTCCTCTTTTTGTATTGCTCTTTTTGTGAGACCTCTCATCGGTTTCTTGTACATATCCTTTTCAAGTATATAAAAGAAAAATTTCCTTGAATGTCTTCTCAATGTTTCTTGTCTTACAAAATTCTTGCAATAATTTCATTCTTTGAACGGTGTGTTCGAGATTTCGTCTTGGATGGCTTCCTTGAAGTTGCCATGGTCGAGTTCGAATAAGGTTCGAACTTTGGGGCATAGACCCTTAAGGGCCCGTGCCGGAAAATGGTGAGTCCCCGAGCCATAATCAAGTTATTATGTATTTGGGATCGGGATAATCGAACCCTTGGATTCGGATTGGGTGAGAACAAGATCTCGAACCCTAAGTGTGTTGGCCCTTAGGCTTTTTTAGATCGGGCCATTATGGCCCCTAAGTGATGGCTATTATTTCCCCTTTTCGGCTTAAAAGACTTAGTAAAAATTTCTTTATGCCTTGGCATGCATTTTTTTACCCATTGGGTTTATTGAGAGTTTAGTGTCGATCGGGAACCTTTTGTTGTTTGTGCCTTAGCACAAGTTTGTATTTGAATAATTTGATACCTCTTGAGGTTTTTCGAGGGCTGATTTTATCAAAGCCCTTTGATTATTTTGCCGAGGGTAGCCTATATGAACCGGTTTTCAGAGAATTCAAAGGCTTGTTTTTATTTCGGGATTCGGACGTCTCTGAGCCGCGTTATTTCGGTTGTAGCCTTTAGTATGGCCGTAGACTTCGGGTATGCCTCTTGGACTTGTTCGAAATGTTAGTCCCCGAGTATGATGGCCTTGGCCTCTACGTCGAGGGGTGCCTCTTTGAAGTCTTATGAATACGAGTTTAGATAACTCGAATGTGTTGACTGTCGATGACAGTCCCCGAGTATTCGGGGTGTATTTGCGTTTTGGCCTTTGAGCCGTTTCTTACGGAATCACAAGTATGAAGCTCGTATAGTAACAAATTTCTTTGAGACACAAAGTGTTTGATATAGAAAGAATGCTTTTTTGAATAATTCATACATGCGTATATGTTTTGCCATCGGGACTCGACTATTCTACATGGACACGGTTCATCCAACCGTTTGGCCTATTACAAAGTTTTCCTATCGAGACCCTCTTTGGCGTGCAGTATTTTTCTCGAAAATATAACCTCCGAGGGTGATGCCCCCCAGTATTCTTGGTTGATTGAAATGAAGCCTTGGATACTGTTGAATTCTCCTTAGGTAGCACATAGTTGTTGCCTCGTTAAAAACCTCGCCGGAAAAACCCATTTGGGATAAAACCCGATCTAAGGGAAAAAGAGTGCAACGCGTGCTTTAAAACCTAAGGTCTTCGTGTAGAAGGGTTCCCTCGATGTCTTCGACAAAACACCTGCAAAAAGTTAGTGTCAAATACAAATGGAAAAAGGGAGAAAGTCATACCTCAGCAATAATATCGTTTGAGCAGTGATACATTCCAATTGTTTGGAAATTGTTCGCCTTCCATCGTGCCAAGTTTGTAAGATCCCTTTCCGATGACTCCAACGACTCGATATGGTCCTTCCCAATTCGGGCCTAGTTTCCCTTCATTCGTGTCTCGAGTATTGAGAGTGACTTTCCTTAAAACTAAGTCCCTGATTCCGAAGTGGCGAAGGTTGGTTCTTCTATTGTAATATCTCTTGATTCTTTGCTTCTATGCAGCCATCTGTCACACCTCCTTTTTTACTACACCCATGAGGGTGTAAAGGAGTTTTTCCAATTAAAGGACAATCGGAACAGGATTTATTATTAATATTTCAGAGTCGCCACTTGGGAGATTAATGGTGTCCCAAGTCACCGATTGAATCCCGATCCGAGGAAATTATGACTCTGTTAGCAGTCAGCGAACCAGAAATCCGGGTAAGGAATTCTGTTAACCCGGGAGAAGGTGTTAGGCATTCCCGGGTTCCGTGGTTCTAGCACGGTCGCTCAACTGTCGTATTTGATTTTATCTGATTTCGAAACATGTTCTAACTTATGTGCCTTTTATTAGTAAACCACTTTTAATATTTTTTATGAGAATTGCAACGTCGTGAAAATGCGTCTTGAACCACGTCGCACCAGTGCACCCGTGATTGTTAACACATTTCGACTTCGTTGAGATTTGGATTTGGGTCACATAAATGTGCACCCGAATTTAGGGAAATAATATTATTAAAGTACGCGCCTAAAGCAGCTACGTGTTTATTATATTTGGGGAGGGCCGCGAAATTTGCTAAACGGCGTATCCTGAAATCTAAAATTTTTATAAAGCATCATCGAGGACCCCGCAATTTGTTTGTTACACTTTGGCGAGGCTCGTGTAATTTTTATTTATGGAAAGGCAATCCTAAAGCAACTATATTTTTTATTCGTCTCCAACAGCACAAGAAGAGTCCTAAAGTTTATTATTGAACTGAAATAAGTCAAATGGTAATCATGTGTCAAGGTCGCCGATTGGGCTCTGAGATGAGCCCAACGAATGAGTATTGTATCCATGCTCTACTAACAAGCTGCCAGTCCAGGTCTAGGCCCAAATGTCCTGGGAATAGGCTATAGGGCCTGGATTTAAATTAACGAAAAACAGAATTCTGATTCAATTAGACCGAAACTATTGAAATTGCTTCACACTCTTTAAATGAAATAATTGATTTAAGGGCCATACATACTGATTTTAAAGGTGTATCAGCATCCAGAATTGAACACGCATTACACTGAACTACTGATTTCATGCTTGCATTATTATTGATTTCAAAGTTGAATTTAAACTAATTGCGCTATGCTATTGTTCTGAAACGACTTAACAAATACAGAGTTCAAGATCCGAAACAGTCCAGACTAACAGTCCAAATGTATCTATTATTCATACACTCAAAACTACTAACTAACACCAATCACATTTATTCAACTAAACAACTTTCAAATGAGTCTAGATTTGGCAATATTTCCATTTCCAACTTCACTTCACAGCTACATCAAAGTGAGTTCATAAACGTGTACCTGGGATTTGAATTGAAATAGGAAAAGGAGAGGTTAGCAGCAGTAACAACTTCAGCAGCAACTCAGAAACCAATTTAAAATCTCAACAACAGTCCAGCACAGATTCAGCAGTTCAGAATAAGTTGGAAAACCAAACAGAATCCACAAATCAAACCAAAATAGCACCAAATAGCCAGAAATGAACCCAGGACTGACACCACCAGTAAACAAACAACAGTCAACTCGAGCTAAGTAGATCTCATGCACATCTGACTCGAACAGCTTGTAAATATCAACATTGAGCAGAATCAGATGAGTTCAAGTTACTTCTGATTCGTAATGAGCTAGAACATTGGATTAAGAACTGGAATCTGAAAGTGAGCTAAGAAGAAATTAATGAAACAATAAATTTTTTATTTTTTGTTGTTTTTCTGGAAATTTGAGAAGGCTAAGATCTAAGGGGGGGTTGGATTCCAAATTTTAGATCGGAAACTTGTGAAGAATCAGGGGGGGTTTTGATGGCTGAAAAACCGTCTGAATGAAGTAAGGGTCATCCCCTTTTATAGGCACAAATGAGGCCTCTCATATTTTCAGTGTTTCTTTGTTAGTCCTTATTCATTTTCACCCTTGGTCCTTTATTTTTTAAACTTGTTACACAAGTAAACCCACCATGTTTTCCTAAGATTCCAAATTAAACCCACTCTAGAGGGTTCTAGAGAATTCTAGTTCAGTTTTTAAAAGATCCTCTACCCATGAATTGCCCCAATCACCCCTGCTTTATTCCTGAAACCACTAACCTATCCCCAAACCCAATTCTTCTAACTAACCATGGTTCAAATAGTCTTTTCCTGCAAATTAAACAACTAACAAATCCATATCACAAATCCTAAGGTCAAACAACTACTGAATTTCGAATCACAAGCTACCACTATCCATAAACACCACCAAAACAAAAGAAATCCAATGCTGGTAAACAAAGGAGAAATCCGGGAACAGGCAGAAATATTGATTTCATTATTAAACTAAACTAAATTGGTTAACTAACTATTACATGATTAACTAGTTAAGCGGACAAAACAAACAGTGCCCAAGTAGGATCAATTAAAAATTATTAAGACTAAGGAAAACAAACTCAATTAATTTCAAGAGCTCAAATCAAACTAATATCAAACGAACAGATTATTACTTATGGATTAGAAGAAAAGTAAACAAAAAGACAGATCCACTTATTGATCATAGATTCAGCTACAAACAAAACCATAAATTGACTAATCAAGAGGAAATATTACTATAAGGGAGGAACTACAGAAGAAGAAACACAGAAGGACTCACTGACATGGCATTAGGGTTCCGCCTGTCTTGCGATCCGAGATTCGAGCACTTCCGGTGACGTTTGAAGGAAACCGATGAGGGATTCAAGGAGAGGAGAACCAGGAGAGTGTAGGGTGTATTTTTGGGGTCATTTGGACAAGGTGAGGTTTTGGCCGGAGAATTTAGATTCAATATTTGAGACGTTTGGCCGGGATTCGAGACAAGTGGCTATGGGGGTTGGGTAAAAGAGGTCAAGGCGGTCCCATGGTGTTAATTTGGGACCGTTTGGCGTAACCGGCGACTTGGCCGGAAAACTTTAACGGGATATTCGACGAGCTCCGGCGAGATTCGAGGGAAACCAAGGGCAGGAACGGGAAGAGGATGAGCAGGAGAGGCTGGGGTGTTATTTTGGGGTTGATCGGAGCAATGCCGCCGCCGGTGGCGATTTCCGGCCGGCCGCGCTGGGGTGGAGAATGGCGGAGGAAGGCGGTGGGGTGACAGTGTTACACCGACGAGTATAGGGCATCTGAGAGATGGGGTGAGAGAGGGGTGGTGAGGGGGGTAGGGGGGGTGCGTTTNGAATTGCCCCAATCACCCCTGCTTTATTCCTGAAACCACTAACCTATCCCCAAACCCAATTCTTCTAACTAACCATGGTTCAAATAGTCTTTTCCACGCGTAGATATGGATATGATGACCGGTGCGCTAATGCCACGCGTAGCCCCTTTTTAAGGAGTGTTTAC